GGCTTTTTCACTTGAGTATTTTAAAACCTCTCATTAAGATCTTGAGTATCTCTTTTTTTCGTCGTTAAAAAAACTATATTTTCTAATTAGAATCTTTTATTTTTTAAATTGTGATCTTGGCAAACTGTTTAGTAATATAGAAAGTAAAGATGAAAAAGGATCCAACAAAACATTATAATCTCTGCACTTGAGACTGTATATAATTGGATCAAATATACAATACAAAATTGCTAAACGTGATTTTAAAAGCTTCCTAAGTGGACATTTTTCTTTGCATATCATTCAATTTTATTTTATTTTATTTTATTAGGTACAACAACAGCTATTAATAAACTTTACATTTTACATTGAATGTTTTTAGGTAAAGCTAGTTAGCGACAATTACAGTTGTCCACATTAATTTTCAAATATCTAACTTATGATAAAAGTAAAATAAAAGCTAACACATCAAAAAGAAAAAAATATCAAACACAAAAGTATCCACAATAATAAGCATAACAAAAAAGGTAAAGCGATGTGAAGAGTGCAATCCTGAACTACAAAAAACGTGCAATAAAAAAAAGCTCACTTTCTTCCAGAGTCAGTAGTCCATAATGTTTGCAGTTTCATGATACAATATTTTAATGTCACCGACAATTGCTTTGAATAAAGAACATTATCCCGTCAAGCCCAACTACGTAAACGTTAAAATTTCAGCGTCTTTGAATATTGTACTTAATTTTCCTACAATTTTCTACATAAACGATGATGCGGACTACAGAAATTACATGATTTGAACATTTTAAAAGATGAGTAATTTTGCGAACTCGCTCATTCGAAGCAGTTGATGACAATGATGATTGAATGTATGGAAACACCATTCTTATTACTATTAATAATAAAAATGTCCACAATCATAGCCCGCACAAGGGAAACCCTATAGCATGGTAACCGTTCGGCCACGGAGGTGACGCGGAATCGGCTTTAGCCATCTTGTATTTAACCACAACTAGAGTATAAAGATGATCGGTCATCGACGCCGGCATTCAGCGACGACGACCGAACGGTGGTGGCTAGCGTTCGGTCGTCGTCGTATGAAAAGTTTACTTACTTCTCATTTCCATGAGTTTTGAGATTTTTTAAATATTTTCTTTGTAAACTTTATCACTGCGTTTGAATAGAACATGTAAAAAACAATTTCTGTGGCGGCATGTACCTGACTTTCGTTACTGAGTTGCAAACATTTGTGAATGCATAATAGCAATATCTCTATTTGACGGAAAACCTTGGAAAACGTGTTGAAGTCTCCAATCCACATCCAACCCACAACATTGGGCCAACGGGGCGAATTATAAACGTCGATGTCGTCGCCGTTCGGTCGTCGACGCCGCCGTTCGGTCGCCGACGCCGTCGTTCGGTCGTTGATGCAATTGTTCGGTCGCTATCGCCGTCGTTTAGCAATCGATGCGGTCGTATGGACGGTATCGGATATTTGCAGTAGTCTTTTTTTAACGTATAATACCAAGTGACGGTACGAACAAGTCAAGAGCCGAGAGCCTGGTGGTAAGCGACACGCCTATCCATAACAGTTGCAATACCACTCAGAGCTTTAAATGGCAAAGATCTTAAAGGCACTGCCACTACGCGCATTACGCTAAGACATAAGTTGACAAGTCCCATGTGCCTGTAATTTCACCAGCACCCTTACTCTTCCAAACCGGAACCCAGTAGTGCTCGCATTCCTGCTTGGTGACAGAAACATGTAAGGTGGCAGTACTTTCCTGGACGAACTCCCTTCTCAAGGAGCTCTACTGTTACTTTAAAGTCGATTCGTTGCCAGTCTGTGCTAAGACACGTCGTTCGAGCCTAAGCGACACAGCTTCTTTTTCGCTCTTATTGCACGGACATAGTTATTCTGACCAGCCTCATGCGATTCCGCATCGATGAGTGTGATTCCCTTACATGCAGATATGAGAATTATTGTTTAAAGATACATAAAATTTAAAAATGATTACATGAACAACAATATTATGCTGTCCTATTTAAAGACTTGTTGAAAGATCAAGCCTTTGGAGTGATTACTCACCATAACGATCATGTCTATATATTATATATTTTATTTTATTATATATTTCTTTTAATGTCTTTAATGTAAATCTTTATTTTCAATACTTAATCAATATTGTTGTTGGCGATCGTATAAGTGTACTTTATAGTAATTTCGAATTCAGTAAACTACGGAAAGAAGCCTTGTACAAACCGCTAAAAGGGTTCTCGAACTATAGAAACTGAGTTTAACAGTAAACCAGTAAGTACAATTGTGTATTTCACTGGCTTCTATGACTTTATTATAATTAAATATTTACTATAGTAACGAAATATGTACACAACGATACGTAAAATTGTGTAAATGTAATAAATGTTTTTGGCACTACAAACTAACCGACACGTGGTGATTAAAGTATAGCTTGACCAGAAGCTTTATTACGTTCAGTGAATTTTTTTTTTGGGAATTATGGGATGGAACGATTTTATTACAAAGCAACGATATTGTAGTGACGATGGATTCACTTAGAAAATTAAAGGCCATTTACCGTGGTGTAAGTGTCAACGCCACTGACTGACCAACGATGACAAATAGGAGAATACCAGTTAATTAATTAACCTTGGCATTCCCAAACTCAGTTGTAGTGGAAAATATCCCCTTACAACTTGATGAAGTTTAGCTGCAAGTGCACCAAAAACGATTGCTCAATTGTGCTTGAGTGGTACCTGAATGAGAGCGAATGTAACTGCAGCCTCGCAACCCTAAAGTGCATTTTGCAACTGATTACAAGTCGGTTCCACAGCATTTCTGCATGTAAGTAAATGGTGAGTATGACTTCATAAGCTGTATTTGCGAAATCGAAATCATCATGTCCATGTGAAATACAGTTTGAATTGAACCTTTTTGTGAGGTAGCATGAGCGTATTTTCCAGACCGAAATGCAGCGTGAAAATTTAAAAGCTCCTCTCACAGCGAGCGGGTCAGGAATTTGTCGACAGTTATTGAATATGAACATTTTGTAATGAAAAGCGACAGGCGGTGCACCGGATCGGTCAGAATAGTGGCGGTAGTCGGTTGTCGGGTTCTGTTTGTGGTGGTCGGCGAAGTGGTAATGTGGTAAAAGTGTAATGAGAGGGTCAGGATCGGGTCGGTCGGTGTGCGGCGCCGCGCGATGCGGCCGCGGCCGGCCGGGGCGGGGCGGGCGCGCGGAAGGAATGCGTCGTTTTCGCATCGGGAGAAACGAATGCGTTTAAGCGTCGCGGGTACACAATGGCGGCGTGACGAGATCCGGTTCGCGGGTGGCGCGGGGGCAGGGGCGGGGGCTCTAATCGATAGCCGGCGAGCGACGGCCGGGCGACTGCGGCGCATAGGTGACAGCTCGGGTCCAATCAAATTACCGGCCATGGAGGAGAGCTGCAGTGCCACGCACGAGAAACAAACCGTCGCCGCCGACCGCGGCTTAAGATCACAGACTAGAAGCAACCAGTAGATCGACTAGGAAGATTTGACGCAAACTTCGATATTGGTAGACAAAATAGTAAGGCACATCATAAAGACAGGACCTTGGTGATCAGGTTAGAAGCAGTAACACATATTGTTTATGCACTTAAGTTTTATACTGTGATGTCGTTTGTCAAACAAGTAGAATGTGTCCTGTTCTCCGTTACTCTGTGGCGTCAACGCTATTGCTTTGCCGAAAGTGCATCGGTATTCGCAATGTACGATACAGACCGGCCCACAAGCCCACGTTTCACCTATGCAACACATTGACAGATAGTACGTCACTTATCAAGCCGCCGATACACGACAACCACCCTTTCTACCCCCACCTTTTACTTCAATTTGAATTCGTACACAAAGCCAGGTAAATAACCTTATATACTTGCATATTCTCGGATTAAGGTTGTGTAGTGACCATCGACTGTCGTGGTGAAGAAGGATAGCGAGTAAAAAACAAGAAGTTCAATTCTTAAAAAGAGCTTATATAATATTATTCGTTGTACTTCAACAGTGAGCTATTCGATGATATAATAAAGATGTAAACAGAAAAAAGAAACAAAGTAGAGCTATGAGAGGACGCCATCTTTTACAGCTTCAAAGTACAGTGCGCGAACTCGATGGCTTCCATCAAATATTTCAGTTGATGTTGAGTGAACGAGACATCTACAAGTTCCCCGACTGTGGATTGGTGTAAGCGCATCTAATTATAGGTTATTCCACCCGCGTACCACACAACAGATCCACGTTCACCATTAACGACCTGTGCACGAATGCGTACCCTCTACCTATACCTGTACATATACGGCCAACCAGAACTATACATAAACACGTAGGTATAGTCGATGAGAAATGTGATGTAACGCGTCACGCACACTGAACGCTGGTCGATTAGAGAAGCGAATTCTTAAAAAATGTAATGGTCACAAAAGCAAAATCATTGTTAAGTACGGCTAATATATGGGAACTTGACATTCACCCCGGCGTAAGACATTTGACATAAAATAGGTAACGACAATATAAAAGCGGCGGTAGATTGACGTGTTATTGTTGGAAGATATTTAGATGGAAGACTGAAATAAATACAGTGTTTATAGGTAGGTAATGAAGTGGGGCGAGCGCAATTAAATCGATGACATCATTCCTTGGTGCGTGGCGCGATGGGAAATAAAAGCACAATTCAATCAACATGACGGCGACACGTCGACTGTTGTTGTTAGTAATAGTTACTGACATTATCTTAATTTTTGTAATAACTACTTTTTTGGTATTGGAATTGGAATTGGATTGTGCATCATAAATCCACCAGCCTCATTGCGCTGTAGATATACATTGCAACAATACGGCAAGTGCCACACAGAGTAAAAAACTACCTACAGGTATGGTGATACGGATCAATATCTAAGATTAATAACTTTAAATTCTTGCCTTCATGGCGGACTTTAACCTCAAAGGTAGAATTTGTGAACCAACTTACCTAGCGCAGGGTCAAGGACTGCTTGTGCCGCCTGTTCCTCGCCAACGGGCGTTTTAAGGCATATTTTCTTGAGTTTCATAGCCACTGGTGAGTCTTCTGACTGGGCCACTGCAATATGAAATATATATTACTTTTTTGTACCACGTGGGTCCTGTTTACGAGCTAGATCACCCTTATTTCCTTGTGGATGGAGTCGATAGCTTCTTCAAAAGTATAAATCTTCAGAACAAAAGTTTACAGGCGAATTGTTTTACTTCGCCGGCTAAGCGTCGTGATGATTATGGCAAGTTTTTTTTTAAAGTACTGTCAGCTTCAAATATTGCTTATCCTCTATTTATACTATAAATTTATCTTGTTTTTTCGATAAAATGTAAAACAAAACGTGTAAAGAGACACTTAATACAAAAAATCTACCAAAATACACATTTAGGTAAATATTCCTTGTATCCAAGACATTTCTTATAATTAAGATATTGTTAACGTGAAATCTTCAGATCAGCTGTTTTTCACGTTGAGTGTACTTTGTGAATCAACGAACAACTAAACGGACTGATGTGGTAATGTAGAAGTTTCTAGATAACAAATTTAAATACATCTGATCTTAGTCATCGCCGTAATTTGCTTGATAGAACAGATTCCATAATGTTATAAAAGTAGCAATAGTTATGAGTAGGTACGATACAAAATTACCTAAGTACAGTTGCAAAAGTGAAACTCATTTTCCTGCTTCAATTAAAATGATCTGTTGGTGTTGGACGACAGATGTGTCGTAGGAAAAAATAATAACAATTTTATATACGCTCAGTTCATTCGCTGACGTAACTCTCGTAAGTAAGTAATGCCATGATTTGCAGGAAAATTTGTCGTTAAAGTCACCCTTTTCTGATACAGAACGTGAATAAATCTTGTAAATCAGTAATGCTCTGGCCACATAGAGGCGGCTGCGGAAGCGTTCCGGGCGCGGGAAATTTTGTATGCGGCCGCACGTGTGGCATACTTAATACGAGCTCGTACAATCAAGAGCACGTCAAGCTTGACAGTGTGGAGTTTGGACAGTTCTTATCTTAAGCGGTATAGAGTTGGATTTAAATCTTAAGGTCAAGCTTGACGTGCTCTTGACCCTGTACATTACAAAAATTATTAATTCCGCGTCCGGAAAGCTTCCGCGGCCTCCTCTGTGTGGTCTGAGCATTAGCGTCAAAATGAACTAAGCGCGTTCAGTGTTGAAAAATATCAGACGTAAATTAAATAAAAATCAACCTCATCTCATTGCATTTAAGGTGCACTTTCAATTTGTTTTCGACTTTCATTTCAGTTTCACGAATTTGAGTTTCAATCAATTTTTTATATTGTAACTCATAAAGATACGGTTGATTTTTAAATCAAATATTCAGAATTTTAGAGCGCTTTGAAAGCTCACATTTTTTCAATACTAAATGGTACTAGAATAATTTTTGCCTAAGTCAAAGAAAAAGTTAGGAAACTGACGAGAGGAACACCAAAACAGAAAGGACGCACGCTCAAGAGAGCTAAGATTGAGAGGAATCAATATGTGCATAAATTATACGAAATACAAAAAAGGGCTAAATTTGTATACAATTAAAAACAATAAATTAATGTAATGCATTATTTCCGTAGTTGACTGTACCAGACTTCTTTCCTAACAGCACCGGCTACCGTCAACAAACTGTCAAAAACAGAGTTTAACAGAGTCTGAGCGCCCAGTCGAAAGCCGTGCGGCGACCGCCCATTTACTACGCTGTCACGTACATTAATGGCGAATTTGAATTCTATTTACTAGGCAACAACATTTAATACAAGTACGAGTACCTACTACCACCGCGCCGTTGCCGCGCGGCCGCCGCGTATACCAAAGGCAGGCCAGCCTCACCTACGAGCCCGGGATGCTCATCAAGTTAAAACGTAAAAGCTAAATAAATAGAGCGTACTTTGCCATGACAGTTAGATGCACGCGGTCGCTGCGCGGCGTGATCACGATGAAATTCGTGTCAAAATTTATTTGCGCCCTAACTCTACTCATAAGACTGTCATTTTTAAAATACTTCAATGAATGTCGAAGTCAATAGAATCTGCTCCTTTTGTTTTTGAAGTCGGTTATAATCCCAAGCTACAACCAAATATTGATCACATCGCGTTTTACGATCATTCTTATAAAGCTCTCGTAGCATTTTCCTTCGCGATAATAGCATTATTAATCCACGCCAAGCCACGGACGTTCCTCGAGAACGACCTTTCAATTATGCCAGTTCAAAATATTGACCACAAATACCAATATTCGCTATTGTTATATCCGTCTCAACTCAGCTGTTTTTCGTGTTCCGATGAAAAGTTTTGGATGTGAACAAATTTACTAAAATAAACACCTACTTATATTCTTTATTGTATACCACAAATGAACCTCGACACTCCAGCCCCCGTAGCATGGGTACGCATGATAGTCGAGGCGCGCGATAAAATTTAAATAAGCGCTCCACTGTTTTAATAGTAAATTAACAATTGGTTTTAAAGTTTCGACACTCCAGCCCCCGTAGCATGGCTACGCATGATAGTCGCGGCGAGCGCTTATTTCAAATTTATCGCGCGCGGCGCGACTATCATGTTGCTATTAAAACAGTGGACTATATTTAACCAAAGAAGAAGAAGATCTTTAAATTTGGAAAGAAAATTACTAGGATTTGTTAAAAGAAATTGTAACTTTTTTTATTAAAAAAACCGACCTCAAGAGTTCGTGGAAAGTGCGTGAAATCGGATTCACCCTTAGAGAAGGAATATTTTCTTCCAATTTAACGAAATGAAAAGAATCATAAAAACAGGTTCACTATGCCGGAGTAATCGCGTAATACACACACACACAAAAAAAATAACAACCTCCTCCTTTTTTTTTGAAGTCGATTAAAAATACGAAGCAATCAATACAGGAAGCATGTTTATTGTATTGAATAACATTTATTTTTGAACATGATATTGTAATGAGTACAGGAAAAGCAAAGTAATTATATATAATGGAATATTTAATTATTAATTAGTACATAGAAATCGATATACAAAGCGCCATTTCGATTCAACCGAGCCGGATAAAACTTTGGAAGCGAGATCTATTGCAAAATCGCTGGACACAGGGTTTTTTTATAATACCAAGTCACTTGGCATCATCACACTTTAGTTATCTATTATTTCGCGACGCATACTCTGTTATTTGCATTTTTGTAGTAATAACAAAGGGCCAGAGAATAACACCAATACCTGTTTTTTTTTAATAAAATCATGTGACGGGAAAAATAAGTTGTACCTCTGGTGTTAAGCGACATGCCTGTTTATAGCAGTAGCTGAGGCACACTGCCACTGAGCCATAAGTTGAAAACTTCCTTGTGCCTGTAATTTCACCAGCATCCTTACCCTTCAAAACCGGAACACAGTTATTTATGCTCACATTAGTGCTTGGCGGCAGAAATAGGTAAGGTGGTAATACTTCCCTGGACGAAGTAGTTGTTAGAAGACCATCCACCGATCTCTAACCGAACCTCATTTATGTTTCAAGATTTGTGGACTTCCGATATAATGTATATGTTAACGACAATGTGTATAAATTAGGAATTCTACATAATACCAGGCTAATAGTTAATATTTTTTAAAGACATTTCTTAGACATTGTAGAATATCTAGGCATTTGTATAGAATGCCGACCGTAGATTTGGCGAAGTATTAAATGAAAGACAAAAAATCTAATCCGTCATTTCTGTTTGCATTTCCAAGTTGGTTCGACTACTCCTGTGGGTTTAGGTAAGGTTAGTATATGAAAAAGCTGTGATGTGGTGAGCGCTAGAAAGAAACTGAATTTGTTTGCGTTTGCGAGCTGGGACAAAAATTATTATGGATACCGTTTTTTTGAGCAAAAGGTGAATATTCAATGCTGTACTTTAAACAAGCAAAGGTAAACTAATGTTTCCAATAAATTAATGGTGCCAAGTTCAGTTAACATTTTTATAAGTCAAAGATTTATTGGATTTACTGTCATATATCATATAATCATTTAAGGAAACAATTTTGCTTATTGCATGAAACAGTATGTTAATGTTTGATTTGTGAAGCGTGCATATTTAGTGTATCAGTTTTTGTCGCTACTATAATATTTTGTTTGAAAAAAAAAACAAGAGATTTTATTAAACATACGTTACTTGTTATTTAATTACCAATCGTTCTAATTAGCTTTTTATTGTTACAAGATGAACTATTGTGAGTTGCGACACTTGACAGTGTACAAAATATTTTCTTAACACACATGCACTTCCTATTATCACATTGATTTGTACACTTACATTTAACAAAGAAGGATGGCGAAAGTTGCCCCAATAACGACGAAGAGCCGTTCATGGACTTTGCTAGTATAATTTTACGTTTTAGTTTATGCCTAGTTGTCAATATATTTTTGTATATTTTTAGAAGTCGGGAATAAAAAATTGTAAAACATTGTATTTTAGAATAGATCCAAGAACACAACGCAATTGATTCACCATAGATTAGGTAATGTTTTTGTACGTACGTTTCATTTTAAGCATGACTGAATGTTTACCTACCTGAAATATTGGTTATTTTATTGTACACACATAAAACATTAAAGCTATGACATACCTAATTGAAAAAATCAATTAAACAGCAAAAAATAAAAACACAATGTGACAAAAATATTCAGACAATATTTAAATGAGAGATAATGAAAGTTGCAAAGGAACGTTTTGACAAGAACTCTTGCCAATATTAATGTCACATTGATATTGAGAACAGTGTGACCATTTGTGGCAGATTTCTACATATTGGGCAGATTTAATTTTTATTCATTTTCATTGCTGCAGAACATGATAAGTGATATTAAATGTTTCAGTGTTAAGCAGATTTGGGAATATTCGGGATGTTCTTTATTATTTTTGGGAACAAATTGAAAACTTGTAGTTTTCTACTACTACGAACATACATCTGAAGCGAAGTACAGAACAATATTATAAAAATAACCTATATCAACTTTATAACCCCAGCTTCTATAGGCTGCACTCAATTAGCTTTTTTGATGCTTTGATAATGAATCACAAGTA